TTAGTAAAGTAGATGTCTACTTCCCAGCCATCGATGACAAAAAAACTGGTGACTTATGGTACGATGTAGACACGTATCAAAGATATGAAAAGTCAGGTTATGAGTCCATACCAGTGAATGATTATAAGGTATTACCTCATTTCATGTGATATTGTTTAACATTTTAAATACTAAATTTTTTTTTAGGTACCTGTTTTCCAAAGAGGCGGCACAATCGTGCCAAGAAAGGAACGTCACCGTCGCACTTCCTTACTCATGCAGAATGATCCCTACACTTTGATTGTGTGCCTCGATCGCGAAGGAAAAGCAAATGGCACACTTTATATTGATGATGAGAAGTCTTATGGTTACCGCAAAGGCAATTATATTCATGTGAACTTTGCGTTTGAAAATTATCGATTGACAAATTACTTTATTGGAACACCCAAATATGACTCTAAATCGTGGATTGAGCGCTTGGTGATTGCTGGGCTCGAAAAGGTGCCCAAATCCGCCACAATTGTTATCGATGGCATTTCCAAGCAGTTGGACGTTTTGCAACAGGGCAAAGCGGTGATTATACGCAAGCCTGGCGTGCATGTTAGAATGGACTTCAGTCTTAGACTTAATAATTAGTATTCAAAGAAATTTTATTTTCAAACGTAAATTCTCATTCCCAATTTATTTAGTGGCATGTCGTCGCCAGAACACAATATATTTTATTTTCATACAAATACCTTTTATTAAAATCAACAAATGGAAAATCCTTTTAATTTAGTTTTCCTCTTAAATGTAGTTAATTTTAGTAATAAATTTAAAGTTTGATGTTTAACGAAATAACTTGTGTGTTTATGTACCAGCTGTGTTTGCACCCTGTTTCTGTTGAAGCAACAGTTTGCTGATTAGGACGTTTGACTGGAATGACAACAAACCGCAAAGAAATAATTTAGCGCCACCCAAACTGGAATTAAATCTTTCGTTATTGGCGTAGAAATGGCATAAAAATATGGAACGCTTATGAATTGTTGCAGGGGAAGTGGGAAATACTTCACGTACATGCGCATTATGACGTCTATGCTGCGAAGATATCCGATTGTGAGGATGTTGGTTGCAGAATCCATAAATTTATATATTCTATTATCAGAGTGTAGGTTCGTGTTAAGTGTGCAATTATTAGGAAGTTTGCAGTTTTCAAAGATTTCCGAGTTGAGGATTTACGAATGGATAACATGAATTTCGACAACGAATGTTTAGGACTCCCAACCAACACTTAAGGGTTGAAGGAAATACACTTCGTTAGTAGGTGCCGTGCATGCGGAAAATTCATTAAATTTTTATTTTATAAATCCTCCCTTATGTGGATTTTAACTCTTATCTGTGTTATTAAACCTTGTAAATTCTCCTCCCTCACACATATTCGCACACAAATCTTAATTCCTATAGCACTTAGAAAGTAGGGTAAAGGAATATTTGTAGCAAAAAAAGGGTTAATGTTTGTTGGAGGTTATCACTCATATCAAAAGGTTCAGTTGTAGGTTAATAGGTTCATTTCTGTAAAATCTTTTCAATTTTTGACTAATGACCTATTGTAAGCTTCAGTGGCTCGTTATTGTGTGGAGGTTGAATGTGGAAACTAGAGAAGATTTTCTTGCTGACTCTTCTGCATATATTTTTGTTTAGGTTATAAATATTGTAAATTATGTGATTTCAATACAATGTATATACGTAGGCTGCTTTTAAAGTTTGCAGTCTACGTCTTTTAAAAAAACATTAAATATTGCTGCATAAATTTTGCCATCTCTGGAAGAAAGATTGACATTTTCCAGCGAAAATATCATTATAGCGTTTTAGTCTCACGCTTATGTGTTGTTTAGATCGATTCTAAATTGTGTCTCTGCGAAAAAATGGATTTAAATAATGAATATTTTCAGGTAATGATTTTTTACGATTTTTGACGCAGATTAACCAGAATAAAATGCATCGATCAACTAAGATCGTCATTTGGTGATGAACATCTATCTTCATCGACTGTTCAATGAGTTCGAGCGTGATCGTCGTTTTCTCTTAAACGCATTTCGTGAAGGTCGTCCAAAAGCGGCTGCTGTATCAGAAAATATCGAATCATTGCGAGAAACGACTGAGATGGATCGTCATTCTTTAAACACGCGTTGATTGCTACAAAAGAAATGAAATGAAAAAATACGGCCGAGGTAGCTCACTACTCGTTTAGGACATTGTGATATGTGACGATTCATGGATCTATTCCTACGAGCCTTAAACAAAATATCAATCCACTGTTTGGGTCTTCCAAAATGAGCAGAACTCGTAGACGGGACAAATACAAGCAAATGGTTGTATGTTTTTTCAGACAAACCGGTCATGTCGCAACATATACCTATATTATACGAGGGCTGTCTTTTAATTCTTGCGCCTAACAATCAATCAGTTTTATTGTTTTTCGAAGTATTCTTTATGATGATCAGCACTTCTTTGCATTCGATTGGACCAATTTTCGAAATAGTTTTGCCACTTTGAAGTTGGTATTTCCAAAACTAGGGATTTAAATGTCACAATGGCCTGTTAGGGCAAAGAAAAGTGTTTGGGAACAGGAAGTCATTTTTCTTTTCATCATTCCTATCGTTGTGGGTATGTGGGGAGGACGATAAAAGTGTACCACATATATTTTGTAAAAGTCGAGCGTATGCTGGCAACAAATGTCTATGCTAAGGGTTTATTTTTTAAAGAATTTATGCCAGTTCCGTGCCCTGTCTTTAAAGAGTATTTCACGCTTCGCCAAAGTATCTATTTAGTTTTTAAGGCTATGAGTTTTCTGTACGGTAACATGCTTCATCTAGTCCTTTGATCTAAGTGGCTCCTTAGAATGGCTTAAATAACCTAACCTAAACCTATAGAATTAGAATAAAAATTTGTGAAATTAAATTATCTGCTTAAACCCGCCTATAAGTGTCTTTTTTCGATCTTATCTCATGATTTTTGTTTATTTTGTGAAGAACAAGATATTAAAGTGCAATAAATCGTTCTCTACTATATTTAATAGAACCACCTGACCAGCGACTTTACAAACGTGTACATTTTTAAAATTTTTGTAGATGGAGAGATTTCGAACAGTAGTGAATTATAACAACAAAATTTTTATAATAATTTGTGTGAGCGGAATAATTTGTCAATTTAAATACAAAATAAAAACTATATATATTTAAACAAATTATATTTTATTAAATTATTCCGATATTTTGACAATCTTCGATTGTCATCTCCAGGGAAACCTGAATTTATTATTATATAATATTTTTATAAAAAAAAACAAAAAAGAATAAAACAAAATTTTTATTTATTTTTATTCATTGATTTTTTGGTTGACCACACAGCTGTTTCAAGTATTGTCCAATACCCATCGTCCGTGGTCCTGGAATTATTTCTTATATTTAAGAATAATATTTTTTTGAGACTGCAGGGTTCAATTAATTAAAAATAAATAAAAATTTTGTTGTTACAATTCACTACTGTTCAAAACCTCTCTATTATGTACAATAATTCCTATTAAGTTAAATAGTTACTATCATCATAACTGACGTTAAAATTAAATATAATTTTTTTGTAGCTGAAAAGAAAAGTTCTTTTTGTTGTTATAAAAAGAAATAAATATTTATGAAGTATATATTAAACAAATATCATTTGTGTTTCATATTAGACTAAGTACTAATTCCAATGTTCTTAAGTCAGTCCATTACTTATCAATTAAAATTTGATTGACTTCTAAATTAAATATTAATTTCAAGCCAAATCCTCTGGTGTCGCCTTTTAAAGGTATTCTTCACATTAATCTTCGTGGTCTTAAATAACATTTAAACTTGCGTGTATAGGGTAAACATCACAATTGCAGAAGGATAACAATTACTCCAAGTAAACGCATATAAATGGCTTTACACTCAATACAAATTTGTGGTATGTGCGGAATTCCACACATTGTAGACAACAAATCGTTGTTGTGAGCATCCGAAGTCATTACTCACAGTTGCACTGATTCACCGATTCACCGACGCCACTAACTCCCCGACGCCACAATTGAACGTCTGCAAGTGCAACTGCAACTGCAAGTATTAACAGAGGATTAACTCATGGAAGTGCATGTACCAGTATAGCCCACATGTAACCCACATATATTCGTTGTTTTCGAAGCAGAATCTCTGCGAAATGTGCCATTGAATGTTTGTTGAATACCTCACAAATCAGTTTAATGGTTGGCGGTGGGTCACTACTGATGTTAGCTATTAGAGGGAATTTCTAATATGTGTAGGATTTAAAACAGTTTGAAGTCAACAGTCTCAAATCTGTTCAATTTTGCCAGAATGAGCAATTAAATCTCGCTTAAAGCAATGAAATATCACTACATTTGTTTAAAAAAAATATATATCCCCACTGTGGATGTATTCAAGTTAAGGATAATATTTAGTTTCTATCTAGAATATTTATAAAAAGTTAAGTTTTCTCCAATTTTTTTTGGGAGTACATAGTGATGTTCTATGAAGTATCCCGTCACTTCTGTCTATGGCGGATACTTATGTGCCATAAAGTACGAGTTATGGAATGACTGTGTCAATTAAAATGTACTTTAATTATTTATAGAATATAACTCTGCCTAATAAATGGAAATCGCAATAATACCGCTATTAACTTTTTCCTTTTGTTGTGTCCGATTTGAGCCCTCAAACAACCAAAACATTAAAAACATTTTCAAAATTTACTCAACCAACTGTTAAATCCTCTTAATTCTGTGCACTTAAGCCAATTTTACGCCATATTCAATTTGCTTTATCATGTTGGTCATTATTTATTCAAAACATGCAAAATCAATGGTTCGGTAGGAATATGGGTGCAAACATTGCTGCTCGCTGCTCGGTGCTCTGCTCCAACGGACAGGCAAAAAAAAAAAATAAAAAATCACCACAAACATAAACGAACACCAAAAGGCGATGACGTATGCTTAATTTCAAAAACCCAGAATTATTTATTAGCATCGGCGCCGGAAATCTACGGCAAAAGGTAGCCAACAGACGTGTCCAATGGAAGCGGATGCTGTGATACTGTAATGATTACGTTTTAGTGCATGGGGGGGAAAATTCTACAATATAACGAAAACGAATATAAAAAAAAAATAAAATTTCTGCCAAATATCAACAAAAACCAAAAAAATAATCTCTTCTGGCAAATAGAAAAATATAGGAAAATATTTACATGACGTGTTAAAGCAAATGAAGTTAATCTGGGAATAAATAAATTGCAAAATTCAGAAAAAAAAGCTATTAAAAAATTTAACACATATCCATTTATGTTGTTCCAAAAATTGCCATACAAAGAATAGACAATAATGGATTTAATCAGAGGCAAATATTTAAAAAAGAATTTAAGTTTTTTTCGTTTTAAGTTAAACAGTTAAAAAAAAAATTAAAAATTTATACATAAATTGAGGTTCAATAACTTGAAGTATTATATCAGCCCCCCATATTCATATTCTTAATACATAAATGGTCATCACATTTTTGGAGAGTTCAATTAATTTATACAAAAAGATATCAGCTCCATTACTACCTTCCCATGTTAACGCAACTGCCAAAAACCCATCCTCATATTTAAAACAAATGGATATCACATCTAATTGGAATCTATCAAGTTCAACAATATGGGTATATTTCTTTTTAAAACCCATTAATTTAGAATCTACTAAACTGATCAATGTAGG